ACACAAGTACCTAATTAACTCTATTTTCAAATATTTCTAGAAATATTATATCTCCCTCAAATCGTTAATAAATTTTCCATTAACGACACATATTTTAAGTTCACTATAATGAAATAATGTTTTAACTAATAACTACATTAATTTTTATTATTAACTTTCATTTCATAAGGCGTTTAAAATAAGCTTAACTGACTTTCATACAAAGGCACGAGTTTATATTCAAAAGGTTCCCGCACATTATACAAAGCTGCTGGAATTACTTGCAGACAGTCCCAAATGATTGATTCTTCCCAAGTTTCTAGTTTTGTTATGTTAACCATTTAATTTAGCTGCAGTTTTTTGTAAAAGAAACAGAATGATGGAATTCAGGCATAAACGAAGAAAATAAAAGATAAGAGAAAACCAGTATTTATAAATCTGCCATAAAATTTTTGAATTGTGCTCTTGACGGGTATGGGACGAGTGGGAACGCTGCAGCAAAATTTTGCACAATTTCTCTGTTTATAAGCCTTTAATGTATCCATCACTGATCATTTCCAAAATTTTAGAAAAGTCCAGTAAATGTCTGTTTTTACGTGGCTGCTTATAATATTACCGACAAAAATTTCCAATTTTTTTTTAAGAAATATTTTAATTCAAAGCATGACCTTTAATAGAATCGACAAAAGATGACCCAAGTGACATTCAGTAAAATGTTCAACTCTGAATCTTTATTCAAACGTAAGTTAACATGGGGTATAAAATTTTAACATAGGAATCCCTAGGGCCACTTTGTAAAAAGATGCACGGTATATGTTACAGTGAAAGCTGGTAACGCAGTGAATGCCAACAATCACTAGGGAATGCTAGCATTTTCTGAGAACTTTTGACTAGTGAATGCTATTCCCTAGTGATTGTTAGCATTCACTGTATTTCCAGCTTTCACTGTAACATGTACATAAATACATATACAGAAAACAGTATCTGCCGCAGGAAGTTTTACCTACAGAATAAAAAATTAATAATAACTCAAAACCTCATTTTTTTTTCCTTAAAATATTGCATTTCACATATACCTAGCAACTACGTTTTAAACAAAACCTCGGACACTTATTTTGGAACAGAGTAATAAGTTAATAAGATATCGGGATCAGGGACAACGTGACAAGATCGAGGTCTGACATCAAAATGGGTTCCCCTCAAACTTAAAATTGACCTATTTATGGATTTTTCTCAATACCTAATCTAAACGGCCTGTATTTGAAGTCAATGACAACATCCTTCATTGTTTTGAATTAAAGTATCTATCTGTTGTGGAGTTATTGTACCTATTTATACTAACGGGTGTTCAATTGAAAAATCACTTAGAGAAGGCGTTGGAATTTCATTTGACACAGTCGTCATGTCTGTTCTTTCCATCCATTGGGCAGAAACATAACCTGTTATATGCTGTATGTTATAAGAACAGACATGCCGTTTGTGTCAAATGATATTCCAACGCCTACTCTGAGTGATTTTTAAATGGAACACCCGTTATAATTGTCTTTGTCAAGATTCCACCCTTTCAGTTCGTAAGAAAATTCGGTAGGCTTCAAAATTACAATTTGCAGCTGAAGCAGCAAACAGATTTTCATGCTCTTGCAATTAGATTTAACCACAACCCAATGCTCATAATCCGAACAAATGGGAATGCAAGGCGCTAGGATTAGTAGGTTAGGTAGTTTCCAAAATTAGTTGTAAAATATGTATACAGAAAAGCGTTTTTCCTTTGTTGTCGCAAATGCAGTTTAATAAATGGGACCATGATACCTTAATGTACACCTGATAAGCCAAAGCAAAGATATTTGAGAAAAACGCAATTAGTTTAAATAACAAATCTACGTCATGTTAGTATGTAATTCATTATAAAATATATTGTTAGTTAACTTTTGATTTTAAGTAACCATAAATTGTTACAATTCCTATAATTATGGTGCATCTGATAAATTATGCACTCGTTTTCCTTTTTCTAATGTACCTAAATTAAGGAAATATTGTAATATGATTTAACTCATTATGGTTAGTGTCATCATTTATCGACGTTTCATAGCTTCTTTATTAGACAGATAATAATTGTTGTAAACTTGTGGATATATTTTAGCAACATCTTGTACATCAAAAAAATTTAAATCTCTCTGTACATTCCCAAAGATGTGATGATGTCATCTCAAATTCTGCGAAGTAAATCCAACCTAAAACGAGCAAAGCAATATACTGATGATTTTCTAAAATTCTTGTACGCACTGCTGAGGCCAGAATATCTTTTAAGTATTGTAACATTCTATTTTTATGGTTCTGTCATTTTTGATGCTGACACTGGTTGCGACGTGCAAATCTTTTAAACGTCAAAGTGACAATTAGAAATATTATCATTACATACATAATCATTTTTATATCACTCACCAAATATGTAATATATAAGTTTCCCAAAATCTGATGTATCTTTCGCGCCCCCGTGCCCTCACTACAATAAACAGAGCAAAATGTACACACCAATTTTCTCCTCTGGTTAATTTGTTGAATGAATGTCTAATTAGGGTTTTAGTTTTTTTTATCCAACCCCAATGAGTTACACTATGATACAGATTATACAATCAATGGTGACGACAAATTTTGTCAATTTTACCTAATACTAACATAATTCAAATGAAACATTCGTCTAAAGCAATTTAGATAGAACCTTCCTATCTCCCAAACGAACAAATCGAGCTTCTTCGAAAAATTATAAAATTTAATTTTGTGGATTTTTTTATGATAACCCCCAGGGGGGTATTTATGTGTGGACTGCTAAAGTACAAGTAAAAAAGCAAGTGAGTGTTTCTATAAAATTTTGTGATGACGTCATCAACATTTTTGGAAAGACACGTATACCAATATGAATAGGTGTAGTCTAATACTAAGAACAGTACCATATACACAAATTTCTGAGAAAATAGGGTGATAAATTGTCTCATTCATTATTTTTTTAGTCACCTTGTATAAGTTGTTCTAAAAAATATGAATGCATTGATAAAATTTAAGTATTGACTATGATTTACCTTGCTTACGACAAACTTAAAACGTTTCCAAAATTTCAGAGCATTCGCTTTTGCAGTTTCAAAGTACAATTTTTGCAAAATGTTGTTATAGATTTTTTTTTTTATTTTTGAAGAATATGGACGTCTAGGGTAAAAAGTCAAAGCCGATGCATAAAGCACATCTGTAAGCGTACGATCTTTTATAACATTTACTATTAAATATTTTGAGGTGACGTCATCACATTGTTGGTGGGGATAATGAGACAAATTTTGGTTAGCGTTTTACTGTCTACACAATATTCCTAACATACATACATACAGCATTTGAGACCAATCGGTCCGGATATTTTGTGTAATAAAAATCGACACAGACAGCAGACAGACAGACGGAAACGGGAGCCCTATTGTTTTGTACCCTAGGCTTTATAAAACATCAAAAAATATGAATTTAGACATTAGCATACGCTCAAGAAGAAAAAATATTCCCACAATGGCATGAACTGTTTAGACTTAGTTTGTGAGATGAATTCCTTTCATAAAATTCCCGCTATACACAAAATTTTATTTGGTTTGGAAAATTCACTAACGAAATGGACTATACGACGATTGCTGCCTTCTCTAGCTGTAACGAAGTGAAAATGGATCGAAGATGGTGGTAAACCAACAATGAAAACAATTTTTGGCCTAGCGTATGTCAAGTAATTCGTAATCGCACATAATAAATACGAGTTGTATACGGAAGTAACTAATAGAAATAGAACAAGATAAAGTTCGTAAGCCTTGTGACCAAATAATGTAGGCAACTACGGCAAAACTATTAATAAAATAGTAACATTGCGCGATGGAATTCGGTCAGCATCAAAAAATATTTTAATAAAATAACAAGGCAGCAATAGATCGTGTGACTGACTAAAAATCATGTTGTTAGTGCATATGCCGTTAGTTTACGTTCGTAAATTTGCTAGATATGGTAGTGGACCTGTGAGAACTATGTTTTTGTTAAATACCTACGAAGGCTACAATTATTCAGATTTTACCTCTAATAGAAGAACGTTACTGCGTTTTTTGATGAACGACAAATCATACATGTCCAGTCTTGGCGACCTAAAATCATGCTTCATCGAAATTTAAGAATTCTAATAATACCTACAACATATGTGCCCGTTTTTTTTTTTTTTTGTTAAGGAAAAGAAAAAAAATCGAAAACATTTTTTACCCATAAATAGTTGCAACACAGTAAAAATATACACCGCCTGAATAACTCATATTCCGCTATGAAATTATGGCAACCCTTACTGCTAGTTTGAAGACATAATTCATAGATAAGAACACCTAAACCTTAGTAATTAGTGCCTTTTGATACAGAACAAAATCCGAACAAGTCATAGTCTTGTGGGCTTTGTAAGCGACGAATACACTTTTGCACCCACGTATCGATGGATTTTCGGCAGACATTGATGAGACTCGGTACTTTTTTATCAGCGATCCAATAAAATATGAGTATATGGGGCCCGTCGACAAGTTTTTAACGTTTGTGTTGTCCCGGTATCTCTAAAGATATTTGGTTGTAATACGCTTGCGCAAAGACCGTGCGACTTTTTCACGGGCGCCTGTCCCACGGTCAGCTGCTGGTTTCAGATCTCGCAATTTCTTCGTTTGCAAATTGCATTCACTCCATTTCGGTATGTGTTTTTGATCTAACTTCATATCAGTCTTGTTTTCATATTTGCTGCAATGTACTTACGAAACTTTACGAGAATCGGAAAAGATGCATAAATGCAATGCACATGCCAAAAATAAACGATCAGCAACAGTTACGTTAGGGTGCGAATGTGCAAAAAAATCACGTAGTAGGAAATACGAAACGGGAGCACACCCTGACATTTTCGCATTAGACGATTTTCTGTCAAGGTATCGGAAATAAAAATAAGAAGCTATAGGCTGTTGGAATGTAGATCTACTCACCACAGCGGGCCAACGAATGAGCACGAGTTTTTAATGGCACAAAACACCACCTTAACCATCACGAATCGTTTGCGCAACTGCAGAGAGATGCCGTAATCAGATGCTATATTGAATCCCACTGCGACACACCACAGCACCACACATCGAGAAGAAGGTCCAGTTGGTACGTACGTGTACATTCAGTCGCCTTTCTGTAACCAAATCGATTCATAAATATTTCCGCCCACTCGCGAATAAAAAACTACACTACATAGTCGACGAAACAGTTATTTTTACGCTTCGTTTTGTCCCCAGACAGACTATTAAACGCATTCCTCGCTACGTGCCTGAGAGGATTCCACGATCATTTTGTTACTCTTTCTCATCTCGAACTACAATCGAAGGAAGACCGATAGTGATGGTGTCTTGCACTTGTACAAAGGCACCGACTTAGCTGCCATGGAATATTTTTGTAATGTTGGCATTACTTTCATCCCGAAAGTTGCCAGCATACGAGTTTCAAGTTCAAACATCTAAAAAAATTGCAGGATGTAGCCAGTTTTAGTGAGGAAAAACTGTTTAAGCTTTGAGTCGATTAACTACAGGAAGGAAGCTGGCCAGCTTCATGCTGAATATTAAATTGGTTTCCGATAGCATCATTTGAATTGAAATAAAGAAAATGAATAATTTTATATTACTATTACAACGAAAACATATTTTTTTATGTAGAAAAGGTAGATTGATTTGCAAGTTTTTACGGTTGAAAAATACCCCTCCCAAAGAGAATTTCAAACAATTCTTATCTGTGTAATTTTTGGACATTTCGTTTAGAGGATGCATATGAATTAAGTACAAAAATATAAAGTAATGAAGTAATATAGTTCTAATATTATTTTTAAAACAATGTATCTAATTTTTGAAATTTTTATGTTTACTATATATTCACTTAGTTTCTGCAAGCAAGATGTACTAAAATTTATCGTCCGTGAAGCATGTTCTCGTTAGTGAAAGCCTTTGCAAATTCTTCATGAATACCTATTATATAAGTAAGGAACATTTAAAGTATTCCCAAACGGCATCTGTTTGAAAAATAAAATAAAAGAATTCTGTTAAAAATGTAATGGAATTTAATGGTTTGTGATTTTGAAGAAACGTTAGAAGTATACATCACTTTCATTTTGAAAGTATCGGTTCTGCGTTTCATTGTTGGAATTTGAACCCAAAATTGGGGTATCCTTTAACAAACGATATATCAAGTGTACCAATGCAAGAGGTTCTACCCATATTGATCTGTTACTAGATCACTGAGCAAACAATTGACTTTTTTATTTTTTAAGTATAAAAAAATATTAGGATTCGTAAAAATGAACCTAAACTAAAATGCAATATTTGCTATAAACATTTTTATAAACATCCTACATATCAAAATTAAATAGAAAGACACAATTCTGTTAAACTCTGTACTGTAAATTATTATCCGATGGAATCGCTTTCAACGCGTAACATTATCAAATAAACAAATCTTCACACGGAACATAATAACTTCGACCGTCATTTTTTTAAATAAAACACGTTATGCACTTATTTGGGCAAATCATATGTAGGTATGTACACGATTTTTATGTAATTTCATTGTTATACTCGCCGACACATTTATTTAAGCGCCCAACAGTTCACGGATGAAGTTGTCGGGGTTAAAACTTAGTTAAAACGAGTTAAGAAGTTAAAAATTTATTAGGTGGGGTTGCAAAAAGCGCGGCATGACGAATGTCAAACTAATGACTGTCCACAAATATCCCGACCAAAGTATTCATACGAGCAGATAGGGGATATCCCCAATAACATCACCACAAATACCTTCTTGTCAGGATAATTCAACACTGTTTCATAGAGGGTAGTTCATGGCCTTTTAGTTAACAGTTGCCTTATTTTTTGGAGAATGTTAAACACATTTACACAATTTTTTTACTCGCAAAATTAGTGACTTACAAGTCATATTGTACTAATCAGTAAACCGACTAAACATCCGACTTCGCTGAATCCATCGGTTTTGATAATTTTCCAATACGCATGAAGGTACCCACCCAATATTTGAATTACAATAAAGATAGTGTCTACGTTATAACGGAAATGCGACGCCAGAAGTTAACAACGTAATATGATTTACTGAATTGTATCAGCAACAAATACCAGCAGGAATACAAACATTCATATCTAATCCCGAAGAACGTCGAGTTATTTATACTTTCAATGTTTCGATACTTACGATGAATCAATAGTAAAAGAACTTAAAAACACTGGCTTTCAATAAAAGATATTATATTGTTATACGTAAAGGATCAGATAAAAGTTCTCATTGTTTACAACGTACAGTACATACCACCATGATGGCACAATGCATCACTTACCGTTACATTTAAAAATTCTGGTTATTAGAAAATTATTTTTCGAACAAATGTGACCCCGCAATGGTAAAACTCCAATAAAATTTGTCCGATCGTCCCTATAGAAAATTGTATGATATTTCATAATTTCGCCAAGTATTAAATATTATTTAAAATTTACAAAATAGAAAGATTTTTTAAATGATTTAATACTCTCGTTCCTTACAAGTCACTTACGAAAAATCAAATTGACGTGGTGATTGTTTGCAATACTATTAAATAACGTTCATGTCCGATGAAGATCCCATGAAATACAATTCTTAAACAATTTACTTTCTGGATGTGGTAATGACACTATATAAACCAAGGCATAAAATAAATTTTCTGAGACTGCATAGTTCTTTCTGCCGTTTGGATATGAATAAAAATAATTTGTAATACGAATGAATGTCAGTGTGAATTCCAATAAGGAAAACAGAATAGCAAATAGTACGTTATTTGGACGATTTTGTTTATTCAAACACGACCTGTGCAAACGTTGCATTTTGCAATACGATTTTTATGATACATCCAGATTTTTCAAGCACTTTTTTAGTTACTTAGTCTCAATAATTAGTGTAATACTTTCTCCTCATTGTTTAAATCTCAGAAAATAATCTGTTAAGAATATACCTACAGAATCTCAATAAAATGAAGCCATGCAAGCAAGCTGACTATTCTTTTTTTAATTGCTGAGGATCAATATATTTTCAATATCTTAAATATCACATAGTTTTTGATATGTGGTGTGGGACAAAGCGTCACCAACGGGTAAGTAAGTCATTCAGTCTTTATAAAAAAGTAAACATAACTTCCAGAATTCGCTTTAGGCATTTTGATTTATACATAAACGCACCATTTTTCAAACATGATCATTATTACACCTTTTTAATCATAACACTAAGCTAGTACAACTTTAAGACACAAAAAGATTTTCGAAACGATCACAGTGGATGTTCGTTCGTTTAGTGAATAACCCTAATAAGATACTTCTTGAGAGCGAAAACAAACACCCATAACTATCAAACTGCATTTGCTTGCTTGCATCAATAATGTAATAAAGAATAAATGAATAAGGTGAAAACTAAACTTTTTTTCCTTGCAGTTAGTACATACAAAAGCAGTGCTCAGAATTAAGATATCATAAAAACCTAAAAATTAACACACGGATAAATATTGTAAAAGAAAAATCGAAAATTATGACATAAGAAGTCCAAAGATATTGAAAATACCAATGGTGAACCGTTTTTAATAATAATCAGCAAAAGTTAAAATCCTTTTTTACAAACTTATATTTTATGATTAACATAGTTTTTAATGTTTTTATTATTGCTACTTGTAGAAGAACTTAACTTACTATCTTTGTAAAAATAGGAAAACTGAGGACGACTGAGAGTATTATGAATTATGAAAATAAAATAATTATCCGGTTGGAGGAAGCTACCGGGAAATATTCCAAAACCTAGATAATGTAAGTAATATCAGTGTTTATATTAGTTAGAAGGCTGTCAATGTAACAAACTTTCGCAAATTTTAATTAAAAACTGTGAAATTCAATGTTACTTTTGGTACGTTATTTTCACACTAAATTAATACATAATTCAAAGTAGTAACGATACAATATAGGTACGTGAGATGCATATCAGAACAATTTCTTGTGACAATTATTTTTTTAATAAAAACCAAAAAGCAAAATAACTAATTTACAAAATTGTTTGTTTTTCACTAACTGAAATGGACATCTATTTGATCGTCATATTACTTATTTTCAATTCGAAAATGCTCCGCAAAGAATCAAAATCTTAATCCGTTGCCAATCAAAAAGGCAAGGTGCAACTAAAGAATACACGCGTGCAGTAGACAGATGTTTCGAGGCAGGTGTCTTATTTCCTTTTATAGTCCACTTGGTTACAAACTTCTTTATTCCGATCGGCCAAAAAAATAATAAAGGGTTTTACATATTTATTTACTAGTAAACCGTAGTTACAATACAAAAGTGAAAGATGGCACACTGTAACTTTAATAATACCTAATAATTTATATTTTGAAACGTCTACTTTTGATCTGAAAGCACATTAACAAAATTCCACGGAAATTTTGTTTTTCAGTAAATAGAGTATTTTGACCTGATTTAGAGTGTTGACGTAAAAATGTCATAGTTTTCTTGGATCTAGAACAACTATTGGTAAATGTTGTGTGGATATGACGCCTCAGTTACACATAAATAAGCAAGGTACCAATCACATTTTTATGTCTTTAACATTTTGTAATACGTGTAAGAATATAAATTGAATATAAACAGCTACATAAACCGACAATAAAGGTGTGATTAATGTAGAAACAATTGAGTTTTTCTAATACAATAGTTGTGGATCTGTTACAACTACAATAATTACGCAACCCACCCTAGATAATACGCAAATGAGGAATGGGGTGTCTCAAGCCGTAGTTACAGTAACGAAAGATTTTCTGTGTACCTACATATCACAAACTGCACTCATATCATCAGTGATATTAAAATTAGTTTTTCAGCAAATTATGTAATGCAATAACAAACACAGTGAAGTCGAAAATTATGTTCCATAACTTATTTGTTGAACAATTTTAATGAATACATACTTATTTTAAGAGATTATTTCAATAAATAGCGTGTCGTTAACAAAGACGAGTGTTCAGGTGTTTTTCCGCAAGATCGCTATAAAAATGAACAAACAATAAACGTCCACCGATTCCAAAACTACCTACCTACTAACTCAACGAATCAAATGAAAATTTCAAAACAGCTGACG